TGGCCGATGATGTCCCCCACCCGGTGAGGTGGTTGTTGGTGCTGAAGCCGCTGGGGCTGGATGCCCCCCACAGGTCTCGCCGTCCAGGTTGGGCCCTGCCAACACCAGGCTGGAAAACCCAGGAGAGACAGGGTGGTGAAGCTGGAGCCCCCCCGGGGCAACGAGCCCCCCATCCAGGGCCACCCCAAACTCACCTGGCGCTGTAGGGGACAGGGCCAGGTGGGGGGTCATGTACTGGCCGTGGCTAGTGGTGAACCCCGATGACTCCTGGGGGATGGAGGTGGGTTGGGTGCATGGTCCGATGGGGACGGGGCCATGCCTGCACCCACCTTCCTGCCAGCACCCTGCTGTCCCAGCCGGCTGGCCTGGCTCCCTCGGGGTGCCTGCAGCCCTCAGGAGACGAGTGGGATGGGGTGGCCCACCGCGGGCAAACCCTGCGTGGGGACAGCGGGTGGGGACGGGCAGCGGGATGGGGTCCTGCTCACCGCCATGCCCAGGCAGCCCGGCACATCCCGGCTGAACCCACTGCCTCTCGCGGAGCCTGCCGGCAGCGTCGGGAGCATCTCGCTGCCCTGCTGGAGGATGGAGATGGGGTGGCTGGGACACGCGTGTCCCCTGCCTGCACCCCCGTCCTGCCTGCGCCCCGGTCCTGCCTGCCGGGGATCTCGCCTCGCCCCGCTTACGTGGCTGTGCACAGAGGGCAGGTAATCCACCGTGGTGAGGCTAACGCCGAGCTGCGGGAGAGAAATAGTGTCCCTTGGGGTGCAGAGCGGGTGGGGGACTGGGGAGGGACAGGGGACCCGGGGGGGCTGGGGCTCACGGGCTGGCCCGGCAGGGCTGGCAGGATGCCGTCGCGCCGGGGCAGGGAGGGAGCCCCCCCTGTCCCCAGCCCCTGCGCTCGGCCCTGCAGCCAGCCATGGCGCTACCTGGTGTCACGGTGTTGGATACAGCCTGTGGACCCTGCCTGTCCCCCTGCGTTTGGGGGTGGGCAGGGATGGGTGACGCAGGGCAGGGGGCCTCTGCCACCCCCAAAACCTCCTGGGGTCAGAGCTGGCCTTGGGGCCACCAATACCACAAAACCCCCTAGAGTTGGAGTTGGCCCTGTGGCCACCGATACCCCAAAACCTCCTGGGGCCAGAGCTGGCTCTGGGGCCACCGATACCCTAAAACCTCCTGGGGATGGAGCTGGCCCTAGGGCCACCGATACCCCAAAACCTCCTGGGGACAGAGCTGGCCCCAGGACCACCAGCACCCCCAAAACCATACCTGGCTGGGCAGGACCGGCGCAGCAGCTTTCAGGGCCAAGCTCCCTGGATGCTCTGGGGAGGCCCTGGCGATGCCGCCTGTGCCAGGGACTCACCGCCCCGGTGCGGAGGCAGGAAAGGGAGGAGGACTCTTGGAGGTACCCGCTCCCCGACCGGCGGACGTGCCAGGGCAGGAGGCTCCGGCCATCGGGGAGCCAGAAGGGCTTGAAGTGCTCAGCAGTGGTGGACGTGGCGCTGTGCTGGCAGTGGCTGCGGCGGGAGGCCAGCGTGGCTGTGACGGAGTGGCCTCAAAACTTGCCCCCCATCCCCACCGCAGCAGGGCTACCTACCCTGCTGCTGCGCCGCGTGGGCAGAGCAGGCGGGAGATGGCCGAGCGGTTGTTGGACACGTAGCCGGTGCCGGTGTGGTGGCCGAGGCGGGGGCGGAACCGCGGCCGGCCTGGGTGAGAGCGGGAAGAGGGGGCTCAGCCCTGGGAACGAGCCCCCCCCCACCCTTCGGGGAGGCCTTTGGGACCCCCTACCGTAGGCCACCGCATAGGTCGTGGCGTAGAAGTTCATGAGGTCGGCGCGTCCCCCGGTGAGTGCCTTTGCTGAGGGAGGGACGGTGGCCAGCCCCGCAGCAGGCGAGCCCTGCGGCAGGGACCGCAGCTTAGCACGGGGACAGACAAACGGACAGGCAGCCGCCGTGGTAGGGCTGTCCCAGAACAGCTCCTTGCCTGCCCTGAGGGACCGGAGGCAGGGGTGGGTGTGGAATGTCCCCGCGGAAGGGGACGTTGGGATGGGGACGCTGTCTCCTGGTAACCGGTAACCAGCGAGGTGAGGCACGGGGATCTCGGAGGGACTGTCACCGCTGCCCGGGGACCGCTGGCCCAGCTGGGACACCCCGCAGAGGGCACCGGGGAGCAGGGTGCCTCACTCCAACCTCCGGCGGAGGGGGGCAAACTCCCCTGGGTCCCCAGAAGAAGGGTTTCAAAGGGACAGGTAGGAGTTGGAGACAGCGGCGAGCCAGCAGGTGCCAGAGCGAGCTCGGATTGCCGCCACCGCCTTCCCCCAGCGCCCGCTCCCAACGCCGCCGAAGAGCAGGGCCCTGCGCTCGCAACGCAGCAAGATGGAGGCAATAGGAGAGGCAGGGCTAGCAGCCACGGCTTTACTCGTCATGCCCCGAGAGTCCAAGGGAGCCGCTGGCGGAGGAGGAGGGGAGTCACAGGGAGGGCAGCAGCATCAGTGTTTCCACAGGGCCCCATCAGCTCCAGGGGATGGGGAGGGAGAAGGCAGCCCCGCCGTCAGCGGGGCGGCTCAAAGAGGTACTCCAGGTCCGGCTGCCGCAGCCTCTGCTCCCTCTTCTTGTTCTTGGCAAACTCCCTCAGCATGGCCATCACGTCGTTCTCAAACTCGGACGGCGCGGGCTTCGCTTCTGCGGTAAAAACAGAAAGGGGCAGCAAGAGAACGGCTCCGTCCTGTCCCGAAGCACCCAGTACCATGCTCACCCCACCAAACCCAGCTCCCACGGAGCGGTGACGGTGCCCTGGCGTCAGAGCGGGCAGGGCAACAGGCAGCTGCAGCGTACCTGTGGCCCAGTAGTAAATGTCCCAGTCGTTGCTGGGCTCGTTGATGAGCCGGTCATAGAGGTTCAGCTGCTGCTCGCTCATGCGGTTCAGGTTCTCCTTCGCAAAGAGGCTGGAGAGAGGATGTACGAGGATGAGCGTGAGTGGTTGGAGGAAGAGCCGGGCTGGCACGCTGCTCCCGACCACGGCTGGCGCCCAGTTCTCTACATGACGCCAGAAGACACGGAGGAGCTGGGTCCGAAGTGACCTGCCTCAAGCCCCAGCCTGCTCTCCGTTAACCGCTACTTCACTCCCGAAACCCAACTGGCCTTGCCTCCTGTGCATCCCAGAAATTACACACATCCTTCCCAAAGGATTTCGGCTCAGCCACCAGCTACGAGCTTCCTCCAGAGCTCTCACGTCTCTGGCTCTGCTCCATCCTGCCCGGCAGCAGTGCTGCTCACCGCATCCTACGCGAGCAAAGCTCTTGTGGTGATTTATTCAACAGCTCAGCCTTCTATCCTCTAAGCAACAACCCATCTCCTTAGGTTTTGGATAATGGCTGTGCGCTACCTCACCAAACTCTTTCTTGCAATGCTCGAGGCTCTTCCCTGTTCATTAAAAACCTCTTTAGGGAGCTGAGCTGCAGGGGACAAACTGTCAGGGCGCTGTGGGGAAGGACAGAGCCGCCTGGCTGCCCTGACAGCAGGGAGGTGGGCGAGCGGCAGAGGGTGGCTGAGAAGCCGGGAGGGAGGACGGGCACCCCGCGCCTCACCTGAGCAGGATGCAGTTCTCCAGCATCCCCCTTTTCCGGCTCTCGTAGAGCAGCCGGGCTCTCTTGGTTTCCAGTGGCTCCTCTGGACGCTCCTGCCAGGGGGGCAAGGGGATCTCCAGCACGTCCTTCCCCGAGTCCGTCGGGGAGTCCCCACGGTAGCCCCGCTGCAGGCTCACCGGCCTCAAAACGCGCCGGCACAGAGCCCGCCGGGGCAGGGAGCAGAGCTGGGAAAGGGATGCGGACAGTGCGGGGGACGTCAGGCCTGGCTGCTCCAGCGGGGATGGGGAGATCCCCACCATGCACCAAGCCCCCCCCGACCCTCCTGGCCATGAACCCCCTCTCCCACACCACTCCCAGACCCTGCTACCCCCCCAGACCCCGTTTCCCCTAACCCCCTCCCCATAATCC